ATGCCTTGAATGATCTCCCCCCAGTGCCTAGAACAATGCCTAGCACACAACAGACCTTAATAAAAACTGAATAAATGAATTTGGAAACACACTGTATATTCCATTTTCTATTTTCCTTTTGCATTTATCAACAATTCATAAACATTTCCCCACAGTCAGATATACTTCAAGTCCACCATTTGTAGTGGGCTAATGTAACAATATTCCATTTTATGGGTATGCCACAAATCATCCACAATCTGGGAATGAGAAATGAGGATGTATACAAGAGGAAGAGTTTTATGTTTTTCTTCCTTTGATCTTTCTAAACCTCAGTAGTGTTACCTCTTAAAATGACGAAATTATCTACCCCACAGTATTACTGTAGAGACTGAATGTGTAATATAAATGGGTACAGAGACAGCATTTTTCTTATCAGTGTTTAGATGCCAATCAAAAGAAAGATCATAGATTAAAATGTAACTCATAATACTACGGTTTGATCAAGATAATGATCAAAGATAAGCCCTTAATGATTTGATCAAGATAATTTCTATGACCCTCGATTATAACATCTATATTTTAAGTGACTATGATCATTCAAAACAGATACATAAAAGGGCTTAGCATAATACCTGGCCCATGTTAGAAAACCAATAAGTGACCATTCATTCACTATTCATAAGCTACAGAGCTTTTCATTTTTCCTTTAAATATTTTATTTATTTTTTGAGAGAGGAAGAGGGAGGAAGGGGGAGAAAAACATCAATATGTAAGAGAAACATAGATCAGCTGCCTCTTGCATGCCCCCAACCGTGGACCTGGCCCACAACCCAGGCATGTGCCCTGACCAGGAATTGAACTGGCAAACTTTCAGCTTGTGGGATGACACCCAACCCCTAAACCACACCAGTCAGGGTTAGGATTTTTCTTAAATTGTGAACCAGAAGAAAAAAGAGTTTTATAAATTACCCCAATAATATTTAGATTGCCAATGTAGAATTTGCCTTTTTGTTTAACAATTAACCAATACGTACAAAGCATACTTAACATTTTTTATAAAAGTCTATCAATTTTGTATCCTTTATTATAAAAAACACAGGCAAGCCCTGGCTGAGTGGCTCAGTTGGCTGGAGTGTCATCCCACACACCAGAAGGCTGCCAGTTCCATTCCGAGTCAGATCATGTACCTAGGTTGTGGGTTTGATCCCCATAAGGGAGTATATGGAAGACAACCAATCTATATTTCTCTGTCAAACTGATGTCTGTCTGTTTGTCTCTCTCTCTCTGTCTTTCCCTTCCTTTCTCTAAAAATCACTAAACAACATATCCTCGAGGATGGACAGGGAGGGAGGGAGGGAGGGAAAAATAGAGTTCATTCTCAAACCTGTATGATATTCAAGCTCTATCAAATTCTTTACCTGCATAATTTAGATCAAGGCCAATTCATCATTTCTAAGGGGTAGACTACACAATCTCTAAGACTCTTTCTGACAATAATTCTACGAGCAAAAACAGAAATCAGTTAAGAATTAACATAATATCTGTGATAATATACTCCAGGTATAAGGAAGTTGCCATCAATAGATAAACTGAGGAGAAGAGGGGAACAACTAAAAAGAGGAGCAGGAGAAAGAGCAATAGGATCTTCCAAGGGGCCAAGGGGCTACACAGAGATACATTCATTAGCCATCAGGGCCACTGTGACAAGAGTCAAACAGGAATTGAAAGTAGAACTATAAGGGATGTACATAAATAGAAATAGCTTAGCCCACTGATACTGCCTCATAGCAAATGAGGAAGGAGCTGTTGAGCGAGCTGCAGCAGTCAGTGGCCATGAGCTCAATGCTGGGGCAAGATGTAGAGTTCTAACACAAACACTGGTTGGTAATTAAATAGGAATAGTTGAGTATAGATGACTGACCACTCACTAGGTTTCTAGAAGAAGCATTTCCACAGCTCACAACTGCCATGCATCTGGATCAATCTGAAATGTACAATACTATAGAGAGTGTTCTTTTAGGGCAGAACACAGAAGGAATCAGCACTTCTCTATTAAGTTCCTTAAGTTCATACCATGGTCCAGGCACTGTGCATTTGCTTTCATGTGCTACCATACTTAACCCTCACAACAACATTGGTAGATGTGATGGTCAATTTTACACTTCAACTCCACTGGACCACGGTGTCCAGGTATTTAGTCAAACATTATTCTGGAAGTTTCTGTGAAGGCGTTTTTTGGATAGGATTTGTATTTCAATCAGTGGACTTTGAGTAAAGCAGATTTAGCCTCCATAATGCATGTGGGACTCATCCAATCAGATAAAAACCTATGTATCACAAGACTGACCTGTCCTAAGAAAAAAGAAATTTTATAAACATATTGCCTTTAGACTCAAACTATAACTCTTCCCTTGTCTCTAGCCTGTGTGCCTACCCTGCACATTTTAGATTTACCAAGCCTCCACAATCATATGAGCCAATTCCTTAAAATAAATTGATCTTTGTGGATACACACACACACACACACACACACTATTGGTTTTGTTTCTCTAGAGAACCCTGGCTAATACTGTAGATATTACTCTGTTTCAGAAAAATGACAGCCTGAAAGAAGCCATTCTCTTTCCCCACAGGGTTAGCATGATAGGTAAAGGGTAGTACAAAACAAGGAAACCTTGTAACCACAAGTCATACATCCCAAGGAGTCCTTTACAACACTAGGACTGACTGCACATGAACCCACAGCCTTGCTATACCCAAGCGATGGAGTAGCCTTTGTCTGGTTTCCTGATTCAGTTATTTTGGCTAAAAGAAATAAAATAGTCCTACTAAATCAACAACATTTGAAGTTTTTGAAAGAATAGGAAAAATAATTGGTAAAGATTTTGCTTCACTTGGTTCAATCATCAATTCAAATGGAGACTGCAGCCAAAAAATCAAGAGAAGGCTAAGACGTGAAAGGGCACCAGCAATGGGAGAATTAGGAAAGATCTCCAAGTGCAAAGATGTGTCATTACAGATGGATGTGTCATTAAGATTATCCACACCTCATATTCCCAATTATGTGTACACATGCCAAAATTTGGACAGTGAGGAAAATAAGTTGATAGGAAAAATTTGATTCATTCGAAATACAGTGTTGGAGGTGCTCTATGAATACCCTAAACTGCCAGGACAAATAAGTGGATCCTAGAGCAAATTAAGCCTAAAACATCGCTGGAGGCAAAAATGACAAAACTGAAGCTGTCCTACTTCTGTACATCACAAGGGGGCAGAGAAAAGACAATAATGCTGAGAAAAATAGAAGGCAACAGGAAAAGAAGAAGATCAATATGAGACAGATTGATTCCATAAACAAAGCCATGAGCTCGAGTCTTCAGGAGCTGAGTAGGGCTAGTGAGAGCAGGACATTCTGAACATCACTCATTCAGAGTTTCCAGAATTCAGAGCCAACTCAACAGCCTATCACATACACACACGAATGGAAGTAAAAGATAAATAAAATAAAAGAAAAACTTCTTTGTGCCACTTTGTTTTGTTTAGGCTTTCTTTGGTTAGTCATTCATTCATTCCCTCAACAAATATTTATTTTGTACTTTATATTTTTTATGAGCTCTTCTGGATACTAGAGAGTACTACCTACTGGGCAAGGGGTGGGGGGGGAAGGAACACATACAAAATACTCAGTGTGCAGAGTGAGAAACAGACCAACAAAAGTTGCCCTGAAGTAAAGAAGGTTTCACAAAATAGGTGACACTGCAGACAGGACAGAGGTATAAGTTTAACTAGTGGAGAAGTGGGATGGTATTCCAAACAGAATTTCTTACACAGTAAAATCCCACTGAGTATATGTTCTATGTTACAAATACATATGTGTATTAGGGGGGTACACAGGCTTATGACAGGATATGAGGCAGGAAAGGCCAACTGGGCTTGTTTATATGGCGAGGAACAATACCAAGGAGTTTGACCTTTACCTTGAAAACAATCAGAGTTATGAAGGATTTTTAAGCAGAAGAACAGGATCATCATGGGCTAAGCCTTTTTACTGAAACCATTCATGAAGCATATATGCGTATAAGGACAATTGGGAAATAGCTTGGTCAGATATAACCACAGATAAAGAAAATTATTATAAAATTTGATAAAAATAAACTGACTAAAACTGAGCCTTGTAATAATAATGTTTATTATTAAAAGGAATAAAAGTATTTTTTGTGCTCTACCTAAAAAAACAATAAAGTTGATTTTGCACGTATACAGTTAGCCCCACTAAAAATCTATGGTCCAGAAACTGACATCTGCTATAGCTATTATTATGCAGTAAATACACATGTGGAAGTTTTTCTCAAAAAAGGAAATAAAATTCAATTAGAGTTGATGCAAATAAAATTATTGCTATGATAATAAAGATATACGGGGAATCTATATCCTAAAATATGAACTAAATTTTATCTTTAGGCCAGAGAGAAAGGGGTGCCTGAGTAAGGCCAAACAGATTTTGCAAGTCACCAAAATGGAAAAATAACTAACCTTAAATTAATTTCTAAAGAGTGAAGTGGTCAAGAAAAAAATCTACTATGTGGAAATATTAATTAGAAGCTAACAAACATCTCGGTTCATTCTCTTGTGCGCTGGTGGTTCTTGAAAATCACACCTAAAGGGATTTTAGAGATCCTCAATTCCAAAACATTACTTTAGCAATGGAGTGCTGCAAACAGTAGTATACAAAAGCAGATAAAAGCATAAAGCATCCTCTGAGAACACAAGAACTTGGAAGTGATTGTTGCGGTCAATTACAAAAAAGTGTGTAGCCAGGACTGATAGTAAGTTATTGGTAATGGGACAAGAGATTGTAAGACTTAGAGCCACCATCTGGAAGATGTGATCCAAAGATCGAGCAAGTCCTAGGCATTAGGACTGAAATTCCCGGTGGGCTCCGGTGCTTGGGGTCCTGTAGGTTGGGTGGGAAACTACAAAACCCCAATCTCTTTCTCCCAACCCCCACCCTGCCTTACCTTCTGTTCAAAGTAGTGAATCGAGTACTTCCTGACTACGGCAGAATGGGATGTGAAGCTGGTTGACAAGTGCAGGTTGCTCAGAGCCCTTAGGGCTGGAGGTATGGGGATGGCAACCCCCGGCATCAGGAAAGCCAGGAGCAGAAGCAGGACAGGGCACCCCATTGCTCAGGCTGGAGGCTGCAGTGCGGATGAGAGGAAAACCGGCAGATGTGCGCAGCCAGAGCCGCAGCCAGAGCCGCACCCAGCTCGTAGCTCCGCCCGCCTCAAGCAGGCTCCTCCCGTGGGAAATCTAAAGTCACAAAGCACCTCAGCAACCCTGGTCACCCAAGACATACCGCTCCCACCCCCGTCCCTTAGGACGCCGTCACATTTCATTTCCCTTTCCTACTGTCCTCACTTAAGAGCCCACCCTCATTTCGGTCACACTCCAAATCTGCCCTTATCATCCTCGGGTCCCATACTACCTGACCGCAGAGTCACATCTTTCACTATATCTCCCCCTTCCAGCCTGGTCACCCCTATATTCACGCCTTTATCGTCACCTCTAAACTCTACCCTGTCTTTCTCCCATTGCCACACCTCTGACCCTCCACAAAATCCATATAATGGTAATAATAGCTACCGTGATCGTCCACTACACGTTGCTGTATCACTGGGCGTAATGGCACACACATCGTCTCCTCTAACTCAACTATCATGGAAATCTTGTGCCTGTGCATGATTGCTATTCCCATTTACAGAAGAGTAAACTCAAATTCTGACAGGTGCGGGGCTTCGACTGGGTCACTCAGACTGCTCCGTCTGGCTCCTTGACTGCACCTCTATTATGTAAGTCTAACCTCCTATGATACTCTGAGAGGGTCAACCCAAACTTCCGTGTTTCCCACCCAACCGATCATTAATGGAGGTCGCCCGCGGCCCACGTCACCCCCGAATCTCGCTAGGTCCTGCTCCCTTTTTCTGGTTACGCCCCCTCCGTTTTCCAGGCAGCCTGCTACAGGCTCCGTCTTTCTCCTAGCTCCCGAAGCCACGCCATCCCTTCGAGCAGAGCCCTCCTTCCTTCTTCACAGCTCCAATTCCCTTCAGCCAGTTCTCATCTTCCTTCCAGTCGCCCCGTTCAACTTCAGTCAAAACGGCGTTCCCAACTCTTCCCGGGAATCCCTGCGCCCAGCAGGCTCCGCGCGGCTCCAAACCCAACTTTACACACTTGTACTACACGGCTCCACCAATCGGGGAAAAGTTCCGTCAACTCCGCCGCTACACCCAGTTTTACAGAAATGGTTGTTTTGAAGGATTCACCAGACAGGTTAATCTCCCCCCTCAGCGGCGCCTTCTTCTGTTTGGCGCTGAGGAAATACGTCATAAGCGTCACTTTTGGCGGGAAAGGACGCGGGAGATTTGATTGGGAGGCGCTTGGCGGGCTTGGGGCAGACTTTTTTCTGAGTTAATTGAGCGTGGCGGCGCCGGTACCCTGTCCTCCTCCTCGGGTGAGTAGCTGTGGGGACAGGTTCTCGGGGAAAGCGAGGGCGGGAGACTCCTAACGAACACCTGAACAGTATGAATGAGACTCGGAGCATCTTTGATATTTTTTACTGGAGTTAGCCTCTCTATGTGAGGGCGGTCTTAAGTAAGAGGTGAGAGTAAGACAGGCATTTTAGTTTTAGACAGTGCTGTTGTAATCGCTCATCCAGGGTTTACTGAGCATGTACTGTGCTGCCGAACTGCACACGGATGAGCTTCAGAAACCGGAAATGCAGGAAGGGAAATGGTAATACTCCAGCTTTTGAGGTGCTCAGAGATTAATTTTCAGCTAGCTGCTATGCGACAGTAGTGTGTACTGAAAATGGGTCTTTTCCGGGCTTTCCCCGGCACTTCCGGGCTTCGATGGCCGGGAAGGAAAAGGGAATAGCAGTGGCGTGCTGCATCCAGAAACATGAAAGATTTCTAAATTCCTTATCGCTCACCACTAGTCAGTTAGGTGACCGCTGTATAGCTCTGGCAATAGCTCCCAGCTGGTTTTCCTTCTTTCAGTCTTGTTACCTTCCAAGCCGGTCTCTCCACTGTCAGGCTCAAATCTGATCAGTATTCCGGATTTAAAACCTTTGAATCACTGCCATTTTCCCTCAGGTTTAAGTCTAAACTTCTTAACATGGTTTACAGGGCCCTTGCTGTCCAGCCTTTGCCTACCTCTCCAGCTTTGTCTTTCACCCTCTAGACCAGGGGTGTCAAACTCATTTCCACTCGGGGCCACATCAGCCTCGCAGTTGCCTTCAAAGGGCTGAAAAAATTTTAGGACTGTATAAATGTAACTGCTCCTTAACTATTAGGGAGTTGAAATTACATTCAGCCCTTCGAAGGCAACCAGGAGACTATGTGGCTCCTGGGGAATGAGTTTGACACCCCTGCTCTTGACCTGGGTTCCATCCAAACAGAATGTCTTTTTGAGTTTCTCAAATGCACCATCCTCCCTCACCTCAAGTTATTCATTCTGCAGATAATTTTTAAGTGCTTCCCTCCTCTGTGCTAAGAACTTCATTCAACACAGGCTGTGAAAAGAATTCACAGAGAAGAAAATGCAGAGAGTAAAGTTTCTATTTTACTTTCCTAAGAGAGGTAAAGGGCTAGGTGGGGAGATATGCCCCAGCACTGAGGGGTAGGAGCTTTGAGCTTTTATCAGATTAGATTTGGATTATAAAAGGATGGGGGTGGGTTTCTGTTGTGTGGCCCCAGGGATGTTGGGGGCCTGGTAACGCTGGAGGTTTCTGGTGGTTTTGCATAAGCTGCAGTTTGCTCCACTGTTATCCTTTGCCTGCCTGCAGCTGTGGGGGGCAGTTATCAGATTCTGTTCCCGCTTTCCAGTAATTTCCAGTCCTGAGGACATACACTCGGAAGAGTAAAATGGCAGTGTGTTTAACAAGGTCATAGGCCTGCTAGACAGATTGCTCTGGCTTTATCCTTTCACTAAGTACTGGGGTTACAATAGTTAACAAGATTCCTGTCCTAATGGAGTTTAAACCTTTTATGGATGGGCTTATATGAGGAATAACAGGAACAAATTGAAATTTGAAATTCGGTTAGTCTGGGAAGGCCTATCTGAGAAGTTGACACTTAAGTTGAGGCTTAAGAGATGAGAATGATCCAGCCATTCCTTCCGAGGAAAGGAAGAACCTTACAGGGTGAATGGGTTGTGCAAAGGCCCCAAAGCATCTTCGTGGTCAGGAACCTAAAAAAAGACCAGTGTTTCTGGAACATATTTAGAAAGTACAGTTGTGTGAGATGTATCTGGAGAGATTGGAAGGGACTAGACCACTTAGGAGGCTAATGCAGCAACATAAGCAGGAGGTAATGATGGTTTGTGTTAAGGTGGCGGCAGAGTGTTGAGGTCCTGCAGATGAATGATGGTTTTTATTTATGAAAATAGACTCAGGTGTTTACCTATGGGTATAATGTGGGACTTGAAGAAAACAGAGCAATGAAGGGTGATTCCTAGATATCTGGGATGAGTTACTGATGGAGAGTAGTGCCATTTACTGAAATGGAGAAAAATACTAGTAAAGACGTTAAGAGGAAACTAAAAATTAAGGTTTTTACTTATTAAACCTTGAGATTTCTATGATACATCCAAATAGAGTTGGCTCTCGTGTAAGCAGTTGAGGTATGGAAGTCTGAACTTGCACTTTTGCCTTAGCCAGTAGATTTTAAATTCCTCGAATACATGAGCCTTTTTTTTTTCTGTCTGTAAGCCTGTCTGTCCTCTTCCATATCCCTAGAATAGTACCTTACCTATCAAAAATACAGTGAACAAACCGTATGTTGTACCACTAAGATTTTCCTGGGTAATTTTTCAAAAATATTTTTCACCAATAATTCTCCAGACAAAAGAGGGTTTTTTTATTTGTTTGTTTTTAAGATTTTATTTATTTATTTAGAGAGCGGGGAAGGGAGGGAGAAAGAGATGGAGAGAAACATCATTGTGTGGTTGCCTCTTGCACACGCCCCATTAGGAATCTGGCCTGCAATCCAGGCATGTACCCTGACTGGGAAATGAACCAGTGGCCCTTTGGTTCACAGCCCAAGCTCAATCCACTGAGCTACACCAGCCAGGGCTCAAAAAAGAGGTTTTGTCTCTTTATTTTTTAGTTATTTAATTTTCTACCTCCTGCCTGCCTCTCTTTTTTTCCTAGAATTCTCATATAATGTTAGTAAATCATTCTTCAGGGACTTCTTTTGACTGTCTTTAGAAAAATTAGACAAAGTATGTACCATTACATAACACTAGTTCCTACTGGTATCCCATAGGTTAGGTGTTTATTCTATAAAACACTTTTATGTAATTTCTCTCCTCTGATCATCTTTGAAAATAGTTGTATTTCATTACTTGTAAAGTTATGGAACCCACTATTCTCCCATGGCTGATGTCACACGACTCCCGACTCTTTCAGGAAAGGGCCTACTTCCACACTCACAGGGCCAGAGCTGATGTGACCAGACCTCCTGCTATCTCAGGAAGGACCCCTCCCCTCACTCAAAAGACCCAGAGGTGATATGACCCCCAAATTTCAGGGACAGAACTTTCCTCACACTCACGGGACACCCTACAATTTCAGAGTGAGTCCTCTTACAACACTCACAGGACCAAAAGCTGTAGTGACTGGACACTCCACTCTCAATGTATGACCGCCTTTACACTCACAGGACTCAGGGCTAATGTCAAAGGACACCCCATATTCTCTCAATAAGTTCACATTCCACACTAAATAAATGCAGAGATGATGTGTAAGGATCTCCAACTCTTTCTTGAGGGAACTCACTCCACACTCAGAAGACTCGGATATCATGACAAGACCTCCAACTCTCTCAGGTAGGACCCTTCTCAACAGGCACAATCCAGAGCTGTTGTGGCCGGAACCCTCTATGCTCTCAGAGTGGAAGACTGCCACACAGATGCGCACTGCCAGGAAATGTTCTTCTCTGCTGTCATCTAGTGTACTTTTGGGGAGTAGCACCTATTTACTAGGTATCTGATATCATTTTGCAAGGACACTTTGAAGGTACCTTATATCACCCCTAGCTCAGAATGTCTTTTTAATTTAAATTTTTTATTATTATGTTGTTATAGTCATCCCCACTTTTCTTCCTTTGCCCTACTTCCCCCAGCTTCCTCCTCCTACAGTCAATCCCCACACCTTTGTTCATGTCTGTGGATGATGCATGTATGTTCTTTGTCTAGTCCCTTCACCTTCTTTCAACTAATCCCAACGTCCCCCCTCCCCTCTTACAGCTACAAGTCTGTTCCTTATTTCTCTGCCTCTAATTCTATTGAGTTGACCAAAATGTTGGTTTAGGTTTTTCTCTGTACAATGGCTATAGTAGCACTTAGTCGTTTTTTAACTTCACTCAACAATTTTGTTAGATTGTATTATGACAGCTGTTATAGCAGCATGGTACAGCAGTTTGGTTTTTTTTTAAACCAAAATTGGTGGATATCTGTGCAGCCATTTTAATACTGAAGGTGAAAGAAGATGCACAATATTTTTGGCATATTATGCTTTATTATTTGAAGAAAAGTAAAAATGCAACTGAAATGCAAAAAAAATATCTGTGTAGTATATGGAGATGGTGCTGTGCCTAATCAAATGTGTCAAAAGTGGTCTGCGAAGTTTCTTGGTACTATGACATTTTGGCCAAATAATTCTTTGCAGTGGGGCTATCTTATACATTGGAAGATGTTTAGCAGCACCCCTGGCCTCTACCCAATAGAATCCATTGGGAGTCAACGTATTCAAAATATCTAAATCAATGAAGTTGCTGGTGAAAATGAAAAATGTCTCTTATTTTACAGAAAAAACTAAACAGACTTCCTTGGCCAACCCAATTTTTTGCTCATTAGTTTATTTTCTTCCTTAG